GACATTCCTGTTCACCCAACAATGTCTCACTTGTGTTTGGTGTTTCCATTTGCTCAGGTGGATTTGCAGCTGCAGTCACCACGCCTCTCGACGTGGCGAAGACCAGAATTATGTTGGCAAAGGTAAGAGCGAAGGAGGCCAGCGGACACTTAGGTGAATGGCTTGGGTAGTTCCTCTGTGGTCATTGTAGAATGAAATCCAGCACCTACTAGTGATTTCTGCTCTTGTCCTCAAAGGCAGGGTTAGATGGGAACAGTTACTAAGTGCAGAACTAATGAAGTTGTAGTTTCTATCCTCAAATTGCTCTTCTGGTCCTTTCCCTATCTGAGAAGGGCTCATGTTTGTGCTAGACTTCCAGAGCCTCATGCATGTCTTTAGGAGAAAATCCTTGCAGAGTCAGACACCCAAAGTTGAACTGCCCATCAGGGATTTATTCCTCTGTTGGTTTGATAGTTGTTGGGCTTTCTAATGCGTTTGTGTATCTTTTCTGAGGTGGACTTGGCACTGGATTTTCTGTCCTAAAATTTGAAGCCATAGAGATCATGATGGCTTCCATCTGCCAACTAGGGCAGAAGGAAGATAGCTTATGTGATCAGTAAGTTTGGTAAGCAGTGGAATGGCTAGTAAGTCTAGTGTTCCCATCATCATCTCATTGACTCAGAGCAGAGCTAAGCAGCCACATGGCTAAAAGCCCTCAGCAGGTGGATATTCCTAAAGCCTTGCCCTGCCCTGAAAAGAGCTGTTGTGTTGGTGAAGGTCAGGCATCCTGGAGTTTCTGTGGGTAGGTTTTATCCTGTTGCTCATGTCCCTCAGCACAGGGGTGTTTCTTGCTGATGACATGCACCTCCCCAGCTGAGTCAGGCACATCTGCACTCCCCATGTTGCAGTGTTGTGTATTTCATTGCTGGGTGTTGTACTTGCTGCAGCTTCTTTGCCTTTGGATAGTGGGGGTGATGAAGCTGTAAGAACATGGTTTCATTTATGTCTGCTGCTACCCTGAGCAGCCAGGTTGGTAAGGGAATGATGGTGCTTTGAGGTGTTCTGAGCTCCAAACAGCATCTTTGTATTAGTCATCTCACACTAACTAGATCACACATGTTAATTTAATAGTCTGTAATCCTGCTGTTTGTCCTCTATTATGCACTCAAGGCTATTTTCACATGCAGTACACTACTCATGTTGTTATATTGTGGGTTTTTAAGTAAATCTCAAGGATACTGTCCTCTTGCAGTGACCAGCAAAGTCACTGTTGGTGCTTTGAGTGTGTCTCTTACTCCAGTGCCAGTTGCTGGACACAGAGTTGAGTGTAGTGCAGAAGGGACTGGATAGCTGGTTCTGATCTAATCAGCTCTGTGACCTTGGAGTGATCAGGTTGTTCTTCCGTGCCTCAGTTTCTCTTTCTGCCCTTTTAGCCTCATTCCTGGAGCGTGTGCCTGGTGTAAGGAGGTTGTTGGGATGTCTCTAATTCCTGTAACGTGGCACTAACCAGGGACAGGGAGCTCAGTGGATAACTTCTCTGCTAACGATTTCCAATCTTTCTGTGGTGCAGGCTGGTTCCAGCAACGCTAGTGGAAACGTTCTGGCTGCTCTCAGTAGCATCTGGAGGACACAAGGCCTGTCGGGGTAAGGATGTGCTGCATCTCAGGTGGTGTATCTCTGCCCACGTCAGCGGGTGGGATGGTCTGCTTACATTTAAATACTCTAATACAGAACAGACTTTCAATGGCATGGGCAGGGAGCTGCTGGGGGGTAGAACAAGTCCCTCCGGCGAGGTGTAGTGTCCTCACCTTAGCACTGGCTGGGAGCAACGTCCAGGGAAGAGCACAGAAACAGGGCATATATCCAGGGTACAATCTCCAAGCTGAGCTCCAGGCTTCGGAGGCAAATGTGGCTTTGTGTTTAATAACCTGTGATGGGCTTTTCTCCGTGAACGTGTGCAGGTGTGGTTTGTATCCAGTTAAGCTTCAGGCACGTGTATCTTGTGGCAGTGAGTACCAGAGTTTCATCTTGAGGTGTGTGAATCACCCCTCCTGAGATGTCAGGGAAGGCCAGTGCAGGAGCCATGTTTCCCTTACGGACAGTCTTTTCATCCTACTGGCGATGTCCTGCTGATGTGAAAACACCAGCAAGGTCTCCTCTGATCTTTATATTTGCTGCTCTTACTGGAAGCGTGGTGGGAGCAGGCGATGCCAGTGTGGTGCCGTAGGATCATAGAATGGATCATAGAATGGTTTGGGATGGAAGGAACCTTAAAGATCATCCAGTTCCAACCCCCTGCCACGGGATACCCCCCATGTCCCTTTGAAATTGAGGTTATTGGAAGCTTTCCTTGGGGCTTTTTGCTGTACTTTTCTCCTGGGTTTTTAAACCACTTGCTGGGGCCGATGCTTTCAGTTGCTGCTGTAACATGTGTAAGCTGTCGCTCGCAGCACATCGCAGCCTGGCGGGGGACAGGTTTCTCTGCACATCTGATCTCCACTCGACCACCTCATAAAAGTCCACTCCTCTTTCTACACATGTGGGAAATAACTCAGAACAAATTGCAGGAAGTTCCTGCACACCAGTCGCAGGAAGGTGCCCAGCAGCGCGCAGGTTTGCTCTTTGAGGTGATGCGCTAGTGGATGGGTTTTGGGTCCTACATGGCTTGATGGACTCTAGGGCATGTTTTGAACATAGGGAGAAGTGAGGCCACATCTGCTGCTGATGGCAGAAAGGGTGTGAAGAGGCATGGATTTGGCTGGGGAAACCTTCCCTGTTCCCTAGGGGAAAATAAGTATGTGTGTTTGTGTTCTTTTCAGGGTGTTTCAGCAGGGCCCTTTTCTAAACAACCCAAACTTAAGCTCTGCCTAAAGATAGTACCCGTGGAGCAGGACCAAAGGGAACACAATTCAATTGAAATCAAAACAATAAGCTAGTCTGGAGAAGAAGTAAGATGGAGAGGAGGCCAAGCTGTGTCAGCTGCAAGGAAAAGGAAGAAAGTCTTGGGAAAAATAAACGCAGAGGCTGCCATGCCTGCTGCCAATTATAAATCTATTAATCAAAACCAATAAAGATGTCGGGCTTTTTTGGCCAGTTACAACATGAAATGATTTATAGCTGCTCTTAATAAATCTCGTACTTGAAGAGGAGGAATTCTGAGGGCAGAAAGACACATTGCTGATTGCCACCTTATCAAAACCAGAGCACAGGCCTCAGCTTCCTGGTCTGCGCCTACTAAATCCCTCTGCTTCATGCCAAGAAATTGCACATCCCTTTCTGTCCCGGGAGAGCCAGGCCTGGGCAGAAGGTAGGATAGGGATGGGATGAGTGGATCCATGCACCTCTTGCCAACAGGTTTACGTCTTGCCCGGTTGCTCTTCACGCAAGGAGGTGGTTGGTGGTGGTTGAAACCTGTTGATGAAGCTCAGTGAGAAGGACAAGGGTTATTGGAGTGAGAAGCCTGCTGCGATGGCACAGTCCAGCTTGTGTGTGTAGCTGGGGTCAGAGCTGGTGGTTTGCACGAGGTGTCCCGTTCCTCAATGAGCTTCCCAGTTGGAGCGGGCAGGGAATGGCTGGTGTGAACCACACTGCTCTCCAGACCCAGTGCAAGTGCTGCTCTGTGAAACACAGGCTGTATGTGAGGGAGTGAGCTCAGTGCAAGGCTCTACTTGGTGTTTCTCAGCATGGCCTTTGGTTCGGAGTGTAATACAGAGGTTTTGTGGCTGAGCACACAGTGCCTTTTCCAGCATGGGAAGTGCTGTGTCCAGGCCCTGCAGAGCCTTTCCCAAAGGGTAACTTCAGGGATCCTGGTTTGTCTCTATTGAGAAAGAATTTGCTTTTGGTTTCTGAGTTGTCTCCCATCACTTCTTGCTGCTGAGACTGTTGGGCTGGGAACCCCAGGGTACGTGTGGTTGGGATGTGTTTGGTCTTTGCCCATCAATGCTGTGCTGGGTGTTTACTGCAGTGGTGGATAATGAGACGGTGGAGGTGAAGCCTTCCAGCCCTTGGTGCTGCATCCTACCAGTCACTGGGAATGTTGCCTAAGCAGAAGGGAAAATCCAGGCAGGGAGAGCAGAGTGGCAGCGTGCAAACAGCAGATACACCAGACAGCAGGTCTGTGCCCACCAGAGCGGTGTCTGATGGGGCCAGCAGAAAGGATCCCACTTTATCTTACTTGCTGATGAGGGCATGTGGGGGCCAGTTTGGATCAGACCTGCAGCTGTCTCTGGATTCAAGGCAGACCTGGAGCTATTTAGCTCTTGCCCTCCTGCAGAAGATTGGAGAGACCACGGGTGGAGGTGGGAAAGGGAAACTGGGGGGAGCAGGGCCAGGATTCTTGGAAGTGATGGTTAGTAATAGAGGTTGCCAGGGATGCAGCTTCTGGGTAACTCAGTTATCTGCCCCTGTTTGTGTAATAGCCGTGTCTCGAGTGGGCTGTTCTGTGATGAATGTCTGCCCCTCCTGCAATGAGGGCTGCTGGATTCAGCAGTAGGATGGTGAGCGTTCCGAGAGCGATGCTGCACCGTAGGGTTCACCCTCTCAGCGCTCTGTCCATACATGCCTTGTACAAATTACTCTGTTTTAAAGCTGTCATTATGGTAATAGACCCAATTGCTGTCTAGTGAAGCCATAAAATGTTTCCATGTGCCGGTGTGCTCCAGGCTCCTGAGTAAAGCTCATTACAGCAAAACCCAGCCAGTGGATTACCCAGTGCAGCGGGAGCAGCCTGGTGCAGGGAAGCAGAGAGCAACCTGGGGAGGGTTCCTGCATCTCTGCCTCATCAGGAATTGCACCTCGTCCCATGGTGGACACGCTCCTAACAGGGACCATGGTGAGAACAGCATCCCACAGAGCTCAGCCAGATTGTGCTGTGAAGGGCTCCTGCTGCACAGGAGATAGATCAGTGAGGGGATGCCAAACGGATTCGAGCCTAATGTTTAATCCTTGCTTGCAATGAGGGAAGCCTGTAACCCTCTGGGAGGATACACTGGCCTGCCCCGAAGTTGTTAAACCAGCTATGAGCTTAGATGTGCTGAGCAATTGGCTTTGCTTGAGTTTCCTGTTCACTTCCAAGAACTATTGGGCTCAGGTACCTAAAACTTGTGGCGGCTGAATGCGCGCAGCCGTTCCTGCTGGTCCCTGTTGTGTGTGATGGGGATGGGCTGCTGCAGCGAGCAGGGCTGTGTGTGCCGTGAGGAGCTCCTGGCAGGGAGAGGGGTTCCTCTGGTAAGGGGCAGGGGAGGGAGGGATGTCTGCAGCCCTGCGTGAGGATGTGTCTGAGCTCTTTCCATGCGTGGCCCACAGCCTCCTGCACGTCAGGAGCGGGGTTAAAATCCACAGTGCTTGGGGGTGCTCTGTTAGGGAAGTCCAGACAGGTTCCTTCAGTGAGCGTGGGGTGGGATTGAAGACAGCAGCAAGAAAGAGTTTGTGTTGGCTTTGTCTCCCAAGCCCCCCGCAGAGCATCCGCTCTCCCCTCATCCTCTCAAACAGCCTTTTCTTCGCCTTCAGCTTGTTCGCAGGTGTTGTCCCACGGATGGCAGGGATCAGCCTGGGAGGCTTCATCTTCCTGGGGACATACGAGAAGACGCGGC